CCCCAAAACCCCAAAACCCCAAAACCCCAAAACCCCAAAATCCCAGCTAAAATTCCAAAAAAATTTCACAATCATAAAACAAAAAAATGTCAAAAATAAAATTCTTAAGAGAAGTCAAAGGAGTTAAGCCACTCTCTAAGGAATTTGTACTTGGCCATAATGGGCTGGAAGGGAGGCCAAGTGGGAAGAAAGAGAGGTCTGCGAAGAAGAAAGGGAGGAAGAGAGTAGGGGAGAATAGGTAGGATCTTGGAAGTGAGGTGTAGGGTGAAGGAAGTGAAGGATTTTGAAGAGAGGAATAAGAGAGCGGTAGGGGAGATGAGGAGGCAAGTGGAAAGGGTGAAAGGAGAGGGGATGGTGAAAGGAAAAGGGCTAGGAAGGTAGGAGAGGGGGGTTTTGGGTGGATGTATGAAGGAAGCTAAGTTGTTGTAGGGAAATTGTGTTAGCAGACCCAACGGATGGGTTTAAATAGAATGATAGAGGAAGCTAAAGATTCTTCAGAGAATTATTTGAGAAATCCTTCGTTGGGGAAAATTCTCTCAGAATCTAGTTTTAAGCTGGAATCTGAATTGACCTCTACTAAAGATTTAAGGTTTCAAAAACTTATGAGTATCCCAAGACATACTATTGGAGGGTATTCTAACATAACTCATGGGAAAAGTGCAAAAATTATAGAGCGAAAAAGATTATTTAGCTCTGATCCTAAACCTAAAGCTATTATAAAGTACAATCCTCCACCAGCAAGGGAATCTAAAGTCCGAAAAATGAGTAAGAGAGACTATGAAGCCTCTGAAAAGATGAGGAGGTAATCCTAGATATAATTCTTAGAGTTTTTGTTAAATCTGAACTTCCAGATTACCACAAGCTACCTGATAAACATCAAGTGATAGATCAAATTATTGAGAAGTCTATTGATCAAGATGAAAAAGAGCCCTCGAACTATACTGATTCCCTTAATTATTTTAAGAATTCTTTCAGGCGTCAAACTTCTGAGATGACCTTAGGTGAAGGTAAAAGTTCCAGTCGTTCTAGAGCTGGGCTTAAATTTTCAAAATCAGAGCTTAATGACATAAGTAAATCTTTCTTAAGAAAGAGTTATTTCTCACCTCAAGAGCGTCTTCGCGATAAATCAATTAGAATTAACACAGATTTTAAGAAACCGACCAAGGACCTAAAGCCAACATGTGCGTAGTTGTAGTAATATTCTAGCCAAGCTGTTCCAAAATACTGATTACATCAAAAAGTGGATGTCTGACCAGATCGAACAAGTAGAGGACGCTGGTCAGCATGAAAAGGTAGAACATCTCCTCAGGTCATATAACAGAGCATTTGAGGAGATCACTGACAAATTTGTTGCAAGAAAGAACAAAACAAACGCTGCAGCCTTAAAGAGAGTCTGGGATAATACTCTACAAACTTTAATTATCCAAATGAATGAGGCTATAAAGGAACGTAATATGAAGCTTGAGTTACTAGAGCGTTACTTGAAGGAGGAATAAGCTTTCTTCATATCTCAATTTCCTAAAATATTCAGGGGTTTTGGGGTTTTGGGGTTTTGGGGTTTTGGGG